CTGCTGCAATTTAGATTTTGACCTTCAAGGGTCTTTCATCTGAGAAACAATCTCTGATGGTCATTGTGAACTCTCCTTTGGCCTGCAGTTTTGAATCTGGTATTCAACCTTATAATATATCAGAAGTGGACATATGCCTGACATACAATTGGTACCAGCTGAATGGACATTCCTTTGTTCATTCTTTCAGCACATATTTATTGAGCATCTGTTATGTGCAGCCCTGTATTAAGCAGTGGAGATACAATAGTGAACAGAAAAGACAAAAATACCTCCTCTTCTCAGTCTTGCATTCTAGTGGGAGAGACAGACAAGGAATAAGTTAAATAAACTATGCCAGATGGTGGTAAAAAAGGAAAAATGAAGTAGGGAAAGGAGATGTGGAGTGTGGAGGTGAAAGTACAGATAGAGTGGCCGTGGAAGGCCTTACTGAGAAGAAGAAATTTGAGAAAAGACTTAAGGAAGTGAGAGATTGAGCTAATATATCTGGGTAAGAACATTCCAGAAAATACTCCATGGCAAGAGTGAAATGGAACATGTCAGGAACAACGAGGAGGCCAGCATGGTGCCAGGGGAGTGAATAAGAGGCAGAGCAGCAGGAGACAAAGTCACGTAATGAGGAAGAGGGCATTGAGGCCTTAGAGGTCATGCTAAGGAATTTGACTTTTTCTCTGAGTGGTCATTTGAGGCTTTGGAGCTGAGGAGTGGCATCTGGCCACTCCTCGTCTCAATGAGGCCACTCTGCAGCTGGGGAAGGAGGGGAATGAGATGGAAGCAGAGACCAGTCAGAGAGCTATTGCAGTAGTCCAGGCAGCTGGACCACGGACCAGGCTTGGACCATCTTGGGGGCTTGGATTGGTGAGAAGTGCATAAATTCTGGATATTTTTTGTAGATACATCTGACAGGATTTGTCAATGGATTGGCAGTGGGGTGTGAGGGAAAAAGGATGATTTGAAGATTTGTGATTTGATTAATTGGCAGGGTGAATAGCCATTAACTGAGATGCGAAAGGCTATGGGAGAAGCAGGAACATCAGGAGCTCACTTTTGGACCTGTTAAATTGAGACATATCAGATATCCAAGGAGGACATGGGGGGAAAGTCATGCAGTGGATGTGTAAAGTTCAGAGTCGTCAGCATATAAGTGATATTCAAACCCAAGACCTGAATGAATGAGTGTAGATAGAAAGCTGAAGAGGTCCAAGAACTGAGCCCTGGGGCACACTAGCATTTATAAATTGGGCAGCAAAGAAGCCTGAGTGGAATGTACAGAAAGGTAGGAAGAAAACTGGGCAGTTGTGGTTTCCTGGAAGCCAAGTAAAGAAAGGGTTTCTAGGATGAGACAATAGTTTGTGTCAAGTACTACCATTAGGAAAAGTGAGTTGAGAACTGAGTCTTGACTGTTGGATTTACAATGTAGAAGTTACTGGCAATGATTTTAAAAACAATTTTAGTGGAGTGGTGGGAGTGAAAGGCTGATGGAATTGGTTCAAGAAAAAGTGAGAGGAAAGGCACTGGGAGACAGTATGTACAGACAAATCTCTCAAAAATTTTGCTATAAAGGGAAGGAGAGAAATGGGACATTTATGAAGGGCTTGGCTGGGTGAGACAGGATGTTCTTAGAAAAGCAGAAGCGAAAGCCTGTGAGTCAATGAGGGGACACTTTCACATTTTAGCAGGACCTCTCTGGCTGCTGTGTTGAGAAAAGACTGAAGGAGCATCCTCTTATGCTGAGCCATCAGTGGTGGCCACTTTCCATACTTTTGTGATATGCCAGCTTGCAGATCATGCCAGATACATGCATGGATGAGTCAGCAAGAAGCCAGGTCATGAAGATGAGAAGCAGAGCTAGAGCTTGCAAAGGCTTGGAGTAAGACGTGTCATCGGGAGCACAATAGAGACAAGTAGAAGAGGTAGAATGTCAGTAGAACATCACTGTTGGCTCCTTGCCAGGATTACACACCACAAAACTGACCCTGATGCCTTAGGAACCAGAAGTGATGTGAGGACAGTGCTGGCTCTGGTGTCCTGAATCCTCTCTTTCAAACTAAACTTGGAAGGGTCACAATTTGTTCTTCAGAGGTGGAGAGGAGGGGGAGTGAGTGAGTGGTTGCTCTGGTCCTGCCCTAGAGTGGAAAAGATAATATACAGAGAAAAAGGTCACGCCAGTGAAAACCGTGCAGCTGTCAGCCTTCAGCTCTCTTGTTCATTCCATTCATTAGAGGTCAGGTTGAGGGGAAGTTATTTTATTATGCCACATCCCATTTGGAATTCCCCTGGGCAATTTGCTCTACACCCTTACTGTAAGGGTCTCGAAGAGGCTCAGTTTATAGACAGGACAGAGGTGGCTGTTCGGCTCTCTTAGAAACCCCTTTGGAAGGCTTCTCTTGGCTTCCTTAACCAACTGGCCTCGTGAGAGCCTCACTGTGTAAACCTCTATTCTGACTTCTCTGTTCTGGGTGTTTTGGGGAAGACCAGGGGCTCTATGGTCCCGTTTTAGTGCAGTGCTGACGCCCATGAGACTTGGCATATAAATAAAACTTTAAGAGAGTTTGGATATTCCTGGGATGAGATGGAGATGTCTATTGTTCCCCTAAAGGGGCTCAGGGTGAGGCAGTGCCCTGGGGTCAGGCCATGTGGTAGAGGATGGGGTAGAAGAAAATTAGTGGAAATAATTCTGGGGAAGCAGAATTTCATTTGTAGGGGAATGTGAGTAAGCAGAGCTACTTAAAGCATATTGTGATGGGAAACATAGATGCCGCATTATCAAGGAAACATCTGGAAATGCTGTTGGATCATGGGGACTCTCAAATCCTAACCACAACCCCCTCCTCTCCACTCTGCTCCCCCAGGACTTCTCTGAGGGCTGTGACCCTCCCATGCCTCACATTATTGCAGCTTTTTAGTCAGCTCCCTGGAGCAGTAGAAGGGCAGAGGGAAGGGTTAAAGGCACCCCTCCTCCACCTCTGCCCACCCTGGGAGAGGACTGGAGGACGGGATCCAGCCACCATTTGGAATGTGAGAGCTGTCCTGTGAGAACACCTTCCAATGTGAATCAAGGCATGTAGATTAAATTCTTGATTGAGGACTTAAACGTAACGCTGGTGTGTTGTTTTAGAATTTGCTTTTGTGGGGCTGGCCCCGTAGCGTAGCGGTTAAGTGTGCGTGCTCCGCTGCTGGCGGCCCAGGTTCAGATCCCGGGCGCGCACCGACGCACCGCTTGTCAGGCCATGCTGTGGGGGCCTCCCACATAAAGTGGAGGAAGATGGGCACAGATGTTAGCCCAGGGCCAGTCTTCCTCAGCAAAAAGAGGAGGATTGGCATGGATGTTAGCTCAGGGCTGATCTTCCTAACACATGCACACAAAAAGAATTTGCTTTTGCTGTGCAGGCAGTTGATGAAGCACAGTGTGCTGAACTGTCCTGGTCTGTACAATGGTGCTTCACACTCTGTGCCCCTGAAATTGTGATGTTATAGTTACGTGTTAGATGCACTTGTGTACACGTATTTTTTGGCACTTGTCCTTATGTCTTTTTTAGGCCTCATTTCCATTATATTATAAGGCAAAGTCTACAATTTCTATTTCTTTGGCACCCCCAGGAAAGATACATGAGTTTTGCATTCAGAGTGCTGAATAAACATTGTTAAATAAAAGTTGTTAACTTCTAGACAATAGTATATATATGCAGAGTAAATTGCTAATCTGATTTCTTCGTTTTAGAAAAAGTGCTACGTATACATAATTTAATTAGAATAATGCTTTGCATTTAAACACATTTAATGTATAAGCTCCAATCATTGATTTTTTACAAATTGCTAAGTATCCTTATGGTATTCCCACATAGATAAACTTCTTAGAATAGATCAGAAGATGTAAAATAATTCAACTCTGTTGCCTCCCCCAGATCTGAGACCCTATGGTGTATGTGCCAGGTTCTGTAGACAATCAAGTCTCACCTTTGTCCCAGAGACATACATAAGTGACTATTACCCAAGATAGGATCCAGGAAGGGCCCATGCAGAGAAGCACAGACAAAAATGTCCTGGGGTTCAAAGGAGGGAGAGAGCATGTTAGTTGAGGAAGTTGGTCCAGGCTTTGTAAGGGAGATGGTGTAAGGAATGAGCTTTGAAGGATGGATAGACTTTCATTAGCTCTAGGTTGGGGACAGCTGTTCCAGCCAGGTCAAGGTAAGAGCCCCTGGACAGGCGTGGGTATTAGGAAGCTGTGGCTAAGAGTTGAGGTAAATAAAGGGACACAGTGTCCTCTAGTCCAATAGGAAACATGGATTTTAAAGTAAGGGTAAACTGGGAGAAAATGGTAATTTTAACAATAATAGCCAGCAAATGTGGGGTACCTTCTTCTCAGATGCCAGACGTTATATAAAATGCTTTACTTATGGGATCTCTTTTAATCTGGAAAAGGTCAGGTCTATTTTTGTTGAAGAGTTTTTCATACAACAGCTACATTATCAGAGCTGTGATCCTGCAGGTTCACACAGATGAAGCACAGGGAAAGACAAGACTGGGAGAGCACTCGGGGCCATTTGTATGTTCTCAGCAAGAGTAATGAGGACTTGAGTTATTCCGGCATGAACATCAGTGAAAATACAAAATTGGGTTGGTTTGAATCAGAATTCATTTTAAGCTTCATATTGCTGTCTCTGCTAAGAGTATTTTCTAACTCACATTTTGGTGGAATTCTTGAGGACCTAGATGGCCTATGTTCTGTCTTAAGTTCCTTCAGTGGGATATGGAAACCAGGAGTCAACAAGGCCTAAGTCCCTTAGTGTTACCTGAGACAGAAACCCAGAGGCGACACAGATTCCTCCCTCTCTCTCACTCCCTACATCTTATCTGTCCCCAGTTGACTGATGGGTCAAGATTGTCTCATGAGATTGTTGACGTCCTCTCTCATTTCATGTCCCAAAAGCCCAGATGCCTCGAATGTTCCAGTTTTGAACTGCTGTGAAATACTAATCCCAGTATTAACTGTCTTGCAGATTCCATTGTGATTGGATTTTGGGTTGGTCTCGCGGTCTTCGTGATTTTCATGTTTTTTGTGCTGACCTTGCTGACCAAGACAGGAGCCCCACACCAAGAGTAAGTTTAGGCTGTTCCTAAATGTGTGTTAAGCCCCACAGGGAACGGAAGAAACAGAAATAGTGTCCAGGGCTGGGACTGCTTCCAGTCGGGGAGAGATGGGGCTGGTTATGGATTTGCTGTCTGGACCCAGGCGCCGATGGGGTGGATCTGCCTTCCTCCTGGCGCTTCCCCTCTTGCCTGTGGGGCTTGTTTTCAAGTGCACCCTTGTGAACCTGGGTTTCTTCATCCTTCCCTATAGTCTTATTGCCAATCCAGGCCTGATTTTTCTATTGAAATATTTATTAATTAGGATGTATTTTGTCCTCAGTCCCAAAAGAATATAGATGACTCATCAGACTAAAAACAGTGAAAAAAGACAAGAGCAAAAATGGGATGAAAACTAGTTTTCAAACACGTTTCAAGGAGCAGAGAAATAGTTGTTACTAGATACTCAACTAAATTAATTATTGACAATAATCACTGAGTTCAACACTGAGTTTCCTTGAAACTAGGATAAAAGTGGAAGGGCTGGCCTGGTGGTGTAGTGGTTAAGTTCGTACACTCCACGTCGGCGGCCCGGGGTTTGCAGGTTTGAATCCTGGGCACAGACCTGCTCACCGCTTATCAAGCCATGCTGTGGCAGGCGTCCCACAGATAAAGTAGAGGAAGATGGGTACGGATGTTAGCCCAGGGCCAATCTTCCTTAGCAAAAAGAGGAGGATTGGCAACAGATGTAAGCTCAGGGCTAATCTGCCTCACCAGAAAAAAAAAAAAACCCACTAAGGATTATATAATTATCACAGCATGATAAAGAACATTTATGTTGGGCTTTGGATTTATGGAGGAAATTATTACATGGATGCTTAAAAAATGTTGGGTAACATCAAAACGTATTTATTCAGTTATGGTTTGCAAAAAACTCAGAAATGTTCTAGAGGATTTTTTTTTACCCCAACTCTTAATAAAAAGGGAAAAGTAAGTATGTTGGATACCTTATTAGTTGGTCCCAGCAGGCAATAGCATACTCAAATTAGGTAATTAGAAGAACTTTTTTTTTTTTGGTGAGGAAGATTAGCCCTGAGCTAACCTCTGTTGCCAATCCTCCTCTTTTTCCTGAGGAAGGTTGGCCCTGAGCTAACATCCATGCCCATCTTCCTCTATTTTATATGTGGGACGCCTGCCACAGCATGGCTTGATAAGTGGTGCACAGGTCCGCGCCCAGGATCTGAACCTGCAAACCTTGACACGAACTTAACCACTGCGCCACTGGGCTGGCGCCCAGAAGAACTTTTGATAAAGGGATTATTTACGGTAATTGTGGCCAGGGAAGAGGACAACCCCGCAGGACAGTGCAGGACCCCAGAGCTAGCAACACTGAGGAGTGGATGCCACCCTAGATTTGGAGGGGGCCCTGACTGGAACCCAGGAGTCCTGCAGAGAGGGTGCCTGAGAGGAGCTGTGGCCTTGGGTCGAGGGACACAGCCAGCCCAATGTGACCTCTCAGGGAGGAAGCCTCAAAATACATACGCAGACCTTACTTTCCTCGTCCCTCCCCATCTTCCACCATTGCCCCCGTTGGCTGAACACAACAACCCAGCCAGAGCCTCCATCAAAGATCAGCTTCCCAGGGCACAGAGCAGGGGTGGGAGGGGGGCAGTGGAGAGTGACCTGGGAGAGTAAATGGAAGAAATTTAGCACAAATCCTAACATTTTCCATTTGGTATCTCACTTAACGCTGGCAGCCTGGCAGCAGTATTCTCATTGCTGTATCTCGTCAGATAGTCTCCAGTGTCTGTTGTTCAGTCTTCAGCCTGCACTTGAACTATAACAAATACCTGGGTAAAGGGCACAGTTCTGCCCATCACTCAGCTATTTTCAGACATTAAGGTCTGGAAAAAAAAAATTAAACACATTTTAAATGAGAGGAAAATACCATTTTATTGAAGCATATGGAGACATATGGTTCAGAATCTCTTTAACAGCCACTAAAAAGCCACTATAAAGACATGAATTTTCCCTTTTCTCTCTCCATGTCCTCATAAACATCTGCACATGCCTTTGCTTCTGTTGTATTGGTCCGGGGAATTTAACAATATGGTGTAGATTGCAACAGTAGCAAGAGAAGTTGAGGACAAACTCAGATTAGGGTGCATGTCATGGATTGGTCAGGGAATAATAACACCCTCTTATCTTCCTTTTCCATGGAGGAACAGATGGATTTTTGTGGAGTTATTGAGATGTATTTGTTTGATGTGGGATGCCGGTGATTTTACGGATGGGAACACCCTAGCGCAAAATAGAACATGATTTCTTGTAATGATTAATTGTATGTATCAACTTCTCTAGGCCATAGTGCCCAGCTATTTGATCAAACATTATTCCAGATGTTTCTGAGGTTTCTTTTTAGATGAGATAACATTTAAAGCAGTAGACTGAGTAAAGCAGATCATCTTCCATAATATGAGTGGGCCTCGTCCAATCAGTGGAAGACCTTCCTAGAAACAGCAAAAAGCTTGCTGAATTCCTTTTTGCTTGAAACTCTTTCAAGCAAAAAGGAATTCTGGGAGAAGACTGCCTTCAGACTTGAACTGCAATTCTTCCCTGGGTCTCCTGCCTGCCAGCCTAGCAGGTTTGGGACTTGCTGGCCTCCACAATCCATAAACCAATTCCTGTAAATAAATCTCTCTCTCTGTTGGTTCTGTTTCCCTGCAGAACCCTGACTAACACATTCCCTAACATGTCGTGGTGACCCTGGGTAGCTGTGACTTGTATCTTCAGTCTGAATTCGTGGTTCTGAATAATCTCAATCAAAGGACAGAGTCATTGTAACTCTACATGCTTTTAATGAGATTAAGGAGAAAGTCTAACCTTTTTTTGCTTTTAATAAGATAATGGATCAGCCCTCAGGGCCACTTTAAATGCTCTTTTGAGTCTGAGGCAGTATAAGATGTGGCATTTGGTTGCAGTATATCATAATAGAAAACTGAAAGAAACAGACATGTGGAAAAATCCCTAAAGGGATCAGTTAAAAGGACTTTCAGAGCTTAGTAAACTTGACATTGATTCGGCAGAAATGTTCTCTAAAACAGATATTATTTTTTCCATTCAGCCCACTTTAACATAAAAAACCAATTTTAAGTTTGCCTGTGATAATTAGGCCTGGAGGAAAGAATGATAAATCATTGAGAATGATAATAAGAGCCTTTTTTTAATGTTCACTGTATTCCAGGGTCTACTAATCACTTGATATATATAATCCCACCAAGTCCTCATGGGAAGATGCAGTAAATCCCATAAGTGTTCCCACTTCACAGACAAGAAATATGAGGCTGAATCACTTGTCTGAAGTCTCACAGGTAAAAAACCATGGGGCCGGGCCTCAGACTAAAGCCTCTTTGGCTCTGAAGCTCCTGTTATTAACCACTACATTGAATTATCACATATTGGTAATGTTTAATCTCTTCCTTTTGTTGAACCAAAGATACCAGCAAGTGATCAGATTTGTTTTCTTTTATCAAATGCTGGACCAAGCATGGGCTCTGGAGGCAGACATTCCCAGTTACTCACTGAGCCTTTGGCTGATTCTTAACCTCTCTATGCTTGAGATTCCTTATTTATAAAAGTAAAACAGGATGGCCTCCTAGGATTACCGTAAATATTAAATGAGCTAATACCCGTGGAGCTGCTGGCGTACGCCAGGCTCACATGCTACTCAGTGAGGATTAGCCCAGCCCTTCCGTGCTGGTGCAAGGCCTGGTGAGAGCTGAAGGGTTTGGTAACGAGTAGGAGAGAAAAGAAGAAGAAACCCATCCTCCCGTGGGACAGTGAGGCCCTGAGCATTCACATCGCGTCCACACTTGACAAAGTGCTGCCTCATTCTACCCTAGCTTCACCTTGGCGTGTCTCAGTGAAACAGTAAGATGACTTTAGAAAGGAGGTTAAGTAGAGAATCTTGGTGATGGGCTGGGAGGACTGACGTCTGAATTCTGACTGCTTTATATCTCAGGCTGTCTGGGTAGTTTGTCACGAAAAACAGCTACTTCCTCAAGTAGCGTATCGGGCAGCATCCTTTTGGGCTATGACTCGAACACTCTGGTTAAGATACCTGATCAAGTCTGCAAGCTCAAAATGGACCAGTGCTGAATCTACCACTTAATTCTATCTTGTTCTCCATGGAGGCATCTCAGGGCGGGGCTGAATGGCTCCCTAGGATCTCATCATTGCTGACGCACAGAAAGAGTACGTGCATCCCTTTGAAAGTAGTAAGACACAAGGATGGCAGATACTGCAACCCGTGCCCCCAGGCCCTGTGCCCATGCTCCCAGCAGACATCACTAATCAACTGTGTTATCTTCCCTGCATAGCCAAGACTTTGCCTCAGAGTCGTTTTCAAATCACCACTCCAGGCAGCCAGCAGGAATCAATCCCAGTTTACCTGAGAGAGAACATGTATTTGCCTTCCCCAGCTGGACCTCCATTTAACAGCGCTGGCTGGCAGAAGTTGTTGAGACCCATTCGACAGCACAGAGCTAATGACACCTCGATAAAATGGGCAAGTTTTTCCCTTGAAGTTTTCAACTTGGGGTCATATTAGCATAAGAACTTCCATTCTGGAGTCACTGACTAGTCAGTGGCATCTGTTGAGGGAAGGACTGTGTAATCATCAGACTAGGTAATGAGACAGTAATAAACAGCTCCCCAAATCTCAGTATAACACAGCGTAAGTTTGTTTTTTGCTCAAGCTGCATGTTTGCTGAGGGTCAGTAAGGGGTGGACAGAAGCTTCTCCACTTCTAGCTGCACTGTCTCCACCACTCGGCCCCCTGGGTCACTGTGACAGGGAAGAGAACACAGCCTTCTGTTCCTCAGCCTGGAAGTGGCCCACATCCCTTCCTTTCACAGCTCATTGGCCAGAACTAGCTACACCCGCCTGACTGCCCAGGCTGCGAAGGGTCATCTTTGTGCCCAGAAGGAGAAGAGAACCAGGTATTGGTGAGCACTAGAAAAGTGTGCTGCAAA